TAGCTAACAAATTGTGTAACAAAAAGTGGAACAAAAGTTGGAACCCTATACAATTGGTTCAATTTGATTTAAATACAAGCTCCTTTATGTAGGCAACAAGTCAGAAAATAACCTTTTCATTGGTGCAATCTCGCAGCTCCTTGGTATGTGGAATTCGGGCATGCTTGGGAATTAAACAGCTCACTGCCAGTAAGATTTCGATCCATCGCCAAGGACTTCGATGGATCGCCAATGGTTTTGATCGATCGAAGATAACGTGTCATGCTTATTTTGACAATTGGCAACCTTATCTACTTAGCTGGCGCAGACGTGGCACTACAATCGATCGCCAAAAGTTTCAATCCATCACCACTTGGAACAAATAATGAGGTGGCAGTCTTATCCCTTTGCTAACGTGGCTGCGATGGATCGAGAGTCCTTCAATCTGTTGTGGATGAATCTTTGATCGATCGCCATTGCTCCAGGGAAAGTTGTAACGACTCGAACCCATAGGTCCGAACCGCCAACCGGGTCCTTACTCGAACCTGAGGTTGTTTAAGTAAATGCCATTCAGTTATATACCAATACACCACTCTTACATCATAGTTATACTTCATAAGAACCCTAAAAAAGATTCCAAGGCTCAAGCTCAAACACACCAAAAGAAGGAACAAAGTTCACTAAAATAGCAGCATTTCGGTCAGCTGAAGTGGAGTTTCAGCCAACCGAAACAACCTCTGTACCGGTCGACCGAAATGGCCATTTTGGTAGGCCGGTTGTGACCTCTATAGGAACTGGACCTACTGGAATGATCGACCGATCGAAGTGCCCATTTCTTTCTGCCAAAATGGTCTTGCGAGCTACAGAATCCCCAGTGAACAGCCAAGAACATGGAGATGAACAAAAAATCCTGCTATGGAACTTTAAACTGAAAGAAACATATTCAAACACATGCAAAATCATTGTTTACAACCCCTCAACATCTACCCACATTATGATATTCATTACTTGAATTTACAACCAAAATCAAAATACATGAAATAACATCACTTTACAGTCCATGAGGCAAAAATTAAACTTATACATATGAACCATGCTTTACAACTTCATAAGTGATACTAGAACTTTACAATATTAACATGGTTTATAACTTTTTACAAAAGTCAACAAAATGATGGTTCCAATCCTGCCTAAAGTGGTGGAGGGTTGTTGTCCGCCAATTTTTTTCTCGAACCTAAAAAATGTTAAATAATGGGGTGAGCTAAACGCTCAATAGGTGGTGCCTAAGACACACCTCTTATGACCCCGTGAATCTACATAAAGAATAGATAAAAGTAAGCGGGATCATACCATAAGGACACACAACGACAACTACGACATCAAGTATACAAATAACGTTATCCAAACACAAATACACCACATATGCTAATGAAGTGCAATGTTATGCTAATGACATTCCCTATTTTCCAAAACCGTTCCATTCCATCTTTTTAAGCCATTAATGCAAACCGACCAATAGCGCCTCTATGGGGTTACGAAGGAAGAATCGGTTAGTTATCCCCGACCACATGGCACCTCCATGGCGTCGTCTAGGCCTAAGTAGTTCAATCACACTATGGTTTCTCCCTAGCTCCCTCTAGATCACATTAATCCACCGGACCACTAGGCGCCTCCTAAGCGTCCGGGTTTTCACAAACACTTTTCAAAGAAAAACGATTTTCCCCAAAATTCATTTCATTTTGCTTTTAAAACCAACTTTTCCCCATTCTTCCCAATGCCATGCATAATTGTCCATATATTATTCTGCCGTAAAGTGAAGAATAACATGCCTCTCAAATCAACATTCAACATATGCATACTTGTAATTAAATTCCCACACAAGTACATAATCCATGTTTCCATTTAACAACAACTTTAGCATAATAAGCATATAAAATATGAATTCTACCTCATACAAGCATGCTTGATCCAAAACATATCAATTAACACATAATCACCCATTCTATATACAACATCTAGGCAATTTAGCAAAAATTTATACAAGTTTACATGCTAAACCACAATTTATACAAGATTAACTCACAAAAGTACAGGAATTTGTGAATTAAAAACCCCTACCTCAATGGAGATGAAAACCCCCAAAATCCCCAAATCCTAGCCCTAATTCGAAATCCTAATGCTAGGCTAAATGGTGCTTGGCTCCTATCAAAATGAAGATCTTAAAAAGCTCTCTAACTTTGATCAAGGAAGTGCTATCAAATTTCCACAATTGCTAGGCTTAATCAAGCCTTCAAATGGAAGAAGAAAAGAAAAAGAAAAAGAAATACAAGAGGGAGAGAAAATGCCGGATAGAGAAAGAGAGAATGAGACCACAAATTGGTCTCTTGGCCACAAAGGAGTGGGCCCCACCATTATGTAAAATATCCCACTTTTCCTTTTCTATTTATATATATAGGTGTTTAAATAATTCCCACCACATAAATAAGCATGTCACCACAAAATTTTACACAAATAAATATGCATAAAATGTCATGAACCCGTGACACAACTCCCGTGCACAACGATTTCGGTAGCAGGTCCCACACGGGACCTTCCGGCCCAAAAAACGGAAAAATGCTGAAATGGCAACCGTTGCATTTCTAAGAGTCCTAACCTTAAGGAAATGTCTCAAACAACATTCGAACACTCTCGGCACACTCCACGGTGTCCAATACGCAAAACGAGAAAAAACGAAAATGCCCTTGCAAAAATAGGAAATTCGAAGTTAGGTCTAATTACAGATAGTACCCTAACGTTTCAAAAATTATACCAACATTCCTTAAAGTTAGCTCTATTGTAACACTTTACCCTTTCCGGTGACGGTCAATGCTAGTCAAAAACGATTTTTGATGATGTTAGTTATTTTTTAGTATGAAATATCACATTTGCCTTTACTATAATTGTAGAAACATTTCCACCCTTACGTTTGAATTACAAATTGCCCAACACCCTTAAAGGCAGTCACACTTTAATTTTTATGTGTATACATTTTCTCTCTCTCTAAACAAGCACAACTCTATCTCTCCATATATATTGGGAAAAAAAAAATATTCTCCATATATAATACTTATATATATATATATATATATATATATATATATATATATATATATACTAATTAATTCGTATTAACTCAACGTCGACGATGTGCTGGTATATTATCCCAAATCCGCGATTTCACTTTCATCTCCATGATTCTCAAGACATCCACCAAAGAGGACATCCCTGGCCTCTTCTCTACCACTGATCTGACACACCTGGCATGAACTCCACTACAACTAATCTCCTCTTATTCAAATCAACACCAAACCTTAACAAATTGACCAACCTAGGGTTTTGAATTCTCTATAAAATCTCAATCTTGTCCTCCGTAGGACTATTGATTGTGTCCAGGGTTGTGGTCCTTTTGACGGCGGCGATGAGCTTGCCGTCATCGAGGACAACTTTGTAAATAGAGCTGTGATTTCCTTTGTCAAGAAAGCTATGGAAGGAGAAGCCATTGGTGGCTGATTGGAGATCAAGTTAAGAGAACTCTCCTCTTTCTCTATTTTTTCTCCACTACTCTCAAGTAATCCACCACGGCGGACATTTCCGACCTCTTCTTCGCTACCGATTTGACACACCTGACATGAACTCCATCATAATTAATAATCCATAAATATGTATAGGTTGTATCAGAAGATGTGTGAATTGATGGGAGGGTAGATAGAAAAAGGAGGACGAGAGAGAAAAGTAGAGGAGGGGGAGTCGCGGTGGAGGTGGGAAAGAAAAGCGACAAAGGCCATGATGTTATTGCTGCTGCCGGTGGTGGCGATGCTGTTGCCGCCTTTGGTGGTGGTGCTACGACGGGGCCAATTGTTGTGGTGGTGGTGCTACGGTAGGGCCAATTATGGTGGTGGTGTGCAACCACTGGTTTTGGTGGGTAAAGATTAATATGGAGATAGAGAGTATAAAAGGAGAGAAAGGGGTGATAGGGAAAGTGTTTGTGGGTGATTTTGTCATTTCATATTTTGCTAATTTTTTATTTTATAAAATAAGGATTTCTTAGTCATTTAACAAGAATTCTATCGGAATCTAACTTCGTCACATTGGAGGGAGGTTTTCGTAATTATTAAAACGTTAAAAATGCTGTCTGTAATTAGGCCTAACTTGGAGGGAAGTTAGCGATATTTTTCCCTAATGTTATTCGTATTGTAAATTTCTTATAAAGTTGTGGTTACCTTTATTATAAACTTTGTATGTTTTTATATTGTGCAAATTATTAAATGTGTTGTGTAATAAAAAAATTTTACCTAACAAATGGTTCCAAAAATATTATAGAATCAATATTGAAAGTGAAACAAGTCAAATCATATTCTATGGGTTTGATTTGACGCGGTTCTACAATTTTGGACTTTCTCATACCCATACACGTAATACACACACATACACATATGGATACTATATATTCATATTATTCAAATAAAAAACTAAAATCTTAAATATGTATGATGATCTACACATATGGATACTATATATTCATATTATTCAAATAAAAAACTAAAATCTTAAATATGTATGATGATATATGATAAGTTACGTTTTTTTCTAATAAAAATCAAACTAAAATATGTATATATTAATTCATTCATGGTTGGATTTGATTTTATGGTTTTGGATCTAAATCGAAATTGAACCATTATCACAATTTTTTAAATATTAAAATCAAAACCACTCCATGATAGATTCAAACCATCGTAACAGTTTCTTCTTCTAATTTTAAAATCAGAAGCAAACTATTTTATTATTATTATTATTTTTTTGGGATGTGTTCGGAGCACCGGATTGATACCGGATCTCCCACAACAAAAAGGAAATCCGAATTCACCATATCCAGCTTACTCAGATGGAAATACCGTATAAATACACAGTACAGCTCATATTTACAACCTCGTTCAAATGACGCCATTCTATTGCGAATTTTCAGAACCGATCTCGCAAGGAAACCCACTAAACAAGACAAAATAAAATAAAGATAAAAAGCCTAGCATCAAAGTGAATACGAATTTGTTTTTTTCACTTTCCCTTTCTTTAAACACTACATATATATACATACATGCACAAATATATACAACATATATGTGCACGCATATATTGTATGTATATTGTATGATACTCACCATTAAAGCATTAGATGAAGGTGTGCTGTTGTGATTCTGCAAAATCCTAGGGTTTTTCAGAGGCTCTATCTACTTTGAAAATCAAATGGCGTTCTGGTGGCCTTTGCTCGTTCTCGGATTCGCTTTTGCGATTTGTAGATTCTTGCTGATGCTCATCCCTCCCAATGTGCCTTCCATTGATGTCGATGCATCTGATGGTACCATCTTCTCTCTCTACACACACACACACACATATATGCACAAACGCATAAATTAATTTTGAGGGTATTGTGATAATCGCAGTGTTAGATGAGGGAAATCAGACGAAGGAGAACAGTTTCATTTACGTGAGTTTCTGAAATGCAGCTCATCTTTTGTTTAATTTATATCAGCTTCAATTTGTGATTGTGTACTGCCAATTGTATAATTTCAGATCATTCACAGATTTTTGTTAATTTGTTTTTGTCATTATGATTCTATCCTGATAGAGGCTTCATGTGATTGCTTCTATCATTGATAGTATTTCTGTTGTACATTGTTTACATATTATGGTTGAATTGATTTATTGTACCTTTCCTGTAATCTCATGCCCTCTGCTTTCCTCTCTATGTGTGTATGTGTTATTTTATTTTTTATCTTTTTTAGATGATTTTAATTTGGCATAGTTCAATTAGAGTCTCCCAAACTGTCTGACTGTATTTGTGTTTTGTGATATACATTTTGGAGAGTGATTTTGTGTTTCAAGTATTTACTCATATTTGATTTGGGATTTCTTCTGCAGATTCCTTCAAAAAGACATACTGACAAAGTTCAATGTTATGAGCCTGCTACGATGAAATACCTGGGGTACTTCTCAGCACTGGAACCAGATGAGGTTAGTGCTGGGTTATACATGTGCCATGTAGTGATAAGTGTTGTGATTCCGCTAACTGGTGAAGCTATTAAAGGCTTAAAGCTATTCAGTTTACTCCTGTTCTGTTGCAGATGGGATTTCAATGGATATAATATTTGGCTTCTTTCATGTTAAATAAGTAGACCAAGGTTGCATTTATTCAGTGCTTAGTTAGGAACTCATCTTGATTCTTTATTCTCTTTCAGTCCTTCCTTTCCGGTTTTTGTATGAATTTTATTTCTGTATGTGGTAGTGGAAGGATCTTCGATTTCATGTTCAAATTTATGATTGTGACATATATAATTACATCACCTGCTTAGCTTTCAAGTGACATTTGCACAACCTATCAATTGAAATCTGGTATATCATGATTGGTGCTAATATTATTATATTGCTGAGATGGTTGTAATTTTTATCCATGTTTTTTTCTTTTCTTTCTTTCTTTATTTATTTATTGGCAATTCTGCTGTTGCCCAATTCTTATTTGCTCGAATAAAGTCAATTTCAATTGAAATGCCATCTCCCTAAAATTATTGATTGCTCTCTCTATGATATGCCTGCATCATCAATACTTAGGTGAATTATACATGTATTTATACAGACAGCCCTTGGGATGCACGCTTGTGCATATAATTTTAATTTTGGACTGAAAATATTAAGTAAATAAACATGATCAGGTCAAGGAGCGTGTGGCACATGCAAGGAAGGCACAGAAAATATGGGCGAGGAGTAGCTTCAAGCAAAGACGCCAGTTTTTGCGAATACTTCTGAAGTATATTATTGAACATCAAGAACTTATATGCGAGTAAGGATATCATTATTGTATTGATGGTTGAACTCTTTGCAACTCCTTAATGAATTCTTTATAAAGAAATAGTCTATCCAAGAAGTATATCAAGTATGGGCATGATTTATTTGTCATTTTTTCGGAAGTCCTGGCCGCATTTTATGTTTTGGTAATATTTGGTTGAGTACTAGAAAAGAGTCCATTTCAAAACGTGGATTGTTATTGCAAAAGGAGGGATGAATTAAATCAATGATGCATTTTGATATTCAAAGCATGGTAGTTGGGAGAATTAAAGTATCAAATACATAAAAAAAAGTTGTTTCCAAATGATGGATAAATTGAGGAAGTAATTTAGTATCGCTAGTATTCGAAGAGTTTAGGTATCCTATACGGATATAACCCACTTATAAAAGTATCCGTACTTCATAGGATGAACTATATGTTTGTATTCTTTGCTTTTAGTGACTTCAGACATAGTGATGCAATTACTAGGAAATAAACTTTAGAATGGTTAGAAAAATTGTAATGGCGGTCAATACACACAAAATATAGTGCAATTCATATGATGCTCTATATAAGATATCATGTGTTTTGTACTTTTGTATATAAAATGATCTTTAACATAATTACGCCTTGACTATAACTTCCAAGCTCCGATATAATTACAATGCATGAGGCAATAATTATGATACAAAGTTACAAACAACAAACTTTTTGTAGCAATGAATTGCACTATATGACTATATCTTATAGTATTCTATGACAGGTACTACTTTCAAGTTTGAAATAAAAAAATTAAGACTCGTCAAAACTATCTATTTTTGTCGTCTACACTGAATGCAGTCTAATTAGTACACATTTTAAAGTTTTAATGCACAGGAAAGATAATGGTGAATTTCCAATTGAAGGTGAGTATTTTATAAGACAAGTTTGCATGTATTGGAATTTGTAAGATATACTAACATACTACAAATATTATAATTTAAAATCATGAAGCTTGTTCAGCTTCATTCTTTATTTTATTTTATTTTATTTTTTTGATGAAAGATAAAAGAAAGAAATTTTGTATTCATACACTGATTGTCTAAATAATTTAATGATTTTTTAATACATTTTGCAGCTATGAAGGTTACTTCAATGAACTTGACGTCCCTCTGGAATGAATTTCTGCAACAAGAGAGGAGTTGAGTTGAGTCTAGTTTGGAGGAAAGATAGAGCTCGGAGAAGCAACTATGGCAGTCTTAGTGTCTAAGCTTAGTCCCTATTTATTGTAGAGATTTAGGCATCAGTCATGCTTTATCATCAAGATAAAGAATCCCTGATTTTTTGGGCATTCCTCCATGAGAGTACCACATAAGCTGTCAGTTATGAGATGATGCTCAGAACTTTTTTCCTGCCCACCAATCCACAGACCTCTGTTCACCCACCTTACTCTGACTCTGCCATGATGTCTTAATTTCATTTTCCTTATACACAGTACTTATATTCTCTATTGCGTTGCGCAGACCTCTGTTCCTAACTTTTCTTACACATTTTATTTACTCTATATTCTCACAATCGACATGTGGTTTCCGTTGTTCTAGTTTGTGTATAAATTTCGCCCTATCATATAATTTCCCCTATGCTTGATCTATCAATACAATTCAACAAAGTCCCATATTTAGAAACGGCATCCTCAATAGGTCTACATAAAAAGCTCTAATTTTCCATGTTGAATATGATGGAACATGTATTAGATACATAATAATCACTGTGAATAAACATGATTTGTTCTTTATTAAATTTCCAAGTACTTTTTATGTTTTTGCATATGTTATAGTTTAAGTATTTTTCACAACATGAGATACATGATACAGAAAATAAGAATAAAAAATTGATGTTTGATGAAATATGAAAATTGACAATCATGATTATAGTCAATTAATGCATAAAAGTTATAAGTCCAATCATCTCTTACAATATAAATGTATTAAATATTTTCAGGGTCATCAGAATTCACTGAGATCCACATTTTTCATCTATTTGTTCCATTTCATGGTAACTGTTATTTCAGATTAGTTTGTGTATCCCTAATTCATGTGTCATTTTGATTAGGATCTCTTCTCGTGATACTGGAAAGACAATGGTGGATGCTTCCTTGGGAGAAATAATGACAACATGTGAGAAGATCACTTGGCTTCTTTCAGAGGGTGCACGGTGGCTAAGGCCTGAATATCGGTACCTCTTGCAGACCTTATCCATTTTCTTTTTGTTGGTTGATTTGAACCATGAATATAACAAAATGGTTCTCTTTCTTTCTTCCATTCTTTTCCCCCAAACCATCAAGCTTAATAAATTTATCTATTAGTTGTATTGAAGTTCCAACTTCTTATTTTCTTGTCTTTGAGTTCCAGCTGCTTATTACCACCAGATGTGTTGCAAGTCAGTGTGACGTGTCCTTAAGGTTAAATTTTCCTCATTTTCAGGACCAGTATCACTTGATCCTCAATAAATTTTATGTCGAGAGCTGCATTTTTTTTTTTTTTTCTTTCATTTTCCATATGAAATTTATACTACCTAGATACTTTCATCTCTATTTTTAATTAATTATGCAGTCTGATAGTTTAGTACCAAATATCTTTTACATATATTCTCCAAGAGTTCCTCATTGTACGCACATAAAGATTTAGTCTCAATCAACTAAGCATTTTTAGTAACCAACAGGTCTAGCGGTATCAGACCCTTACTTCCCAAAAGGAGGTCAGGGGTTCAAGCCTCAGTGGAGACGTGTGTGTGAGTACCCAACTAAGAAAAAAGAAAAGAAAAGCATTTTTAGTAATAATACTGTTTAATTTCTTAATTCTTTTCATATATCAAAATAAATTGTGATAGAGGAAGATCCAAGAAAAAATTGACTATCATTAATAATGATTGCTGTCAGGTCTTCTGGAAGATCAATGCTTCACAAGACATCCAAAGTGGAGTTTCATCCTCTTGGTGTGATTGGTGCCATTGTTTCATGGAACTATCCATTTCATAATATATTTAATCCAATGCTGGCGGCAGTATTTTCAGGGAATAGCATTGTGATAAAGGTAACTTGTGTTTAGACTACCTAATCCAAGTACTAGATTGTGTTCTTTTTAAGTTCGAAACAGAAACATTTGGTTTTGCCAATCTGTAGTTCATTTAGGTCATTTGTTTCTTATGCAATAGTAGTATACACATCTACATTATTCTTTGGATGCTCATAAAAATCCATATTTATCATTTAGGGAAACTAGAGCCTGCCTATATATCTGCTGCATTGTCTAGCTAGGTCCTATGGTGCTTGCATCAGAGGGTGCAATAGTAGGTGCTACCAATGAATGTCAATGTTGAATAAATTCTGCAGCAATTTTTTTATATTTATCATGAATGAGTTGTGGAATATTTTGGAATTATTGGCGATAGATAAAAAGTTAAAATGCTGACAGAAGTGAAATATTCGAGGCACAAAAGGGATCGAAATTGTAGAAGAGCAAAAGACTAATACAAAGAAAATTTAATTGTTAAGCTTTTGTATGAGGAAGGAAATGAGTGAATCATGTGCCTATTTCAAAGAACAAGCAGAATTCTGTTCACTCTCATTAAACGTTGACTCCACTGCTTGTGAAACAGAGGACATCGAATATTCGACTATCTTGGGTGGACAGGCCTTAGGCCATTGCATCTTCCTCCGCAACATCACGCCATTGGCTGCTTTCAAGGTTCAGAACGCGATGCAAAAGCTCAATTAACTTGAACTCCAAATCTGTTTCCTAACTACTTGAGTCCAAGTACTTTAATCATCTATGCCATTGGGATTAAGATATATTTTTCTATTTTTTTTGCTATGATGTCTTTTTTTTTTTTTTCTTTTCTCTTGGCAACCTTGGCCCATGTTTCATTTGTATTTTCTCACAACCTCGGCCACTTTTTTGTGGCATCCTTCCTTCAGTTGTTTGTCTGTATTTCATGAGACCAAATCATCTTAGTTGAAATCCATGCATCATTTCTACAGTTGGTGCATTCCGTAACTTCTCACAAATGCCATCCACTCTTATCCTGCACATTTGCATAACTTTGAGACCCTTTCAGGTTACGTTTGCTAGCTGCCAACTCAAAAAGAACCACTTTTAGTTTTGGCTCATAACAGCGTTGTAAGAGCATCAGCAAAGTTTTCTCTTCCACCGGACCCAACACCCCCCCTTCTTCCACTCTATTCATAGTTTATGTTTCAGGATGTTTTGGAGAATCAACAAACAAAGTACTCAAGTGGACCCTAGTCTTTTTAAGTTCAGTATTTAACAACAATAGAACTAGTCACACAAAGGTGGTGTTGATGCAGTGGCTTTGTCGAATTGCCACCCCTATCCACAAATCAATATTTACAAGAGTTAAACTCAACTTAACAAAGCCTTTCCCAACTATATGGGGTGTGCCACATGAATCCTATTTTCCCATTTTGCTATAGCCCCAATCAAATTAATTCACAAGATTTGAGCCTGAATCTGAATCAAAACCTTCTCTAATACATAAATAATTGGTAGATTGTCCATTTTTTGTATTTTGTCTTTTTGTGTGTGTGTTTTTTTTTTTTTTTTTTTTTTTTTTTTTTTTTTTTTTCATTTGATGGTCGATCTATAAGCCTTTTCCAATTTTTTCATCTCTTCAATTTTCAACTTTTTCCTGATTTTTCTTCAAAGTGGTAAGTAATTTACATTAATGTGACTATATAAATTTTTTTTTTTTAATTTTTTGTGGTGAAATTCATGTTTTAAAGGCATAGAAAAAGAAAATCATGTGGGTGGCACCATTCAAATAAGATCAAGACATGTGGTTGTTATTGTTATAGAAGTTGTAATTTCCAATTTATTATATTTTTATAGTAAATTTTACTAACTTTTATTTTCAATGTTTTTAGAATTTATTTATTTCAACATTTTTCTTTTTTTAATTTTTAATTTTCTTTTGTATAATAATTATGATTGATTAGTATAATTAGAGGTGGCAAATGGGCGGGTTGGGTCGGGTTTGGGTTGGGTTGAAAATGAGCGGGTCAACATGGGTCAGGACCCATATTCAACCCGTTCAGAACGGGTTAAAAATGGATGGGTTGAAAATGGACAGGATCAACCCGTAAACCCATTAATTATTATTTTTAATTATTTTAACACTAAAGAAATACTTTTATTATTATTTTTTAATTATGTGCATTGCATTTTTTTTTTTTTTGCCAAAATATTAGAGAGCTCATCTCAGATCGAATTTGATTACAAAATGAGACACCTATATATGTTTTTGTTTTAGTGTGGTGGAGGTGGACTCTCCTTAATAATAAATAAATAAATACATCATATATATATAAATGTAGTTTTTTATTTTATTTTTGACTCTGTAGGACTAAATCAATATCAATAGATCATTATTTATTATTATTATTATTATTTTTTTTGTATCAACTCACGATTAATTAAGGATTGGAAATTGATTCAATAGATCATTACTTTTTTTTTGGTATCATCTCACGATTAATTAAGGATTGGAAGATCTAGTCTTATTTGACTTGATCTATTCCATTATATTTATAAATTAGTAGAAAATTTTGATTTAAAATTTCAAAATCTAAACTGGGAAAAGTTGACTTTCCAAAAAGGATGGCCTAACTTACTCGTTTCTGGGAGCTGTCACGAAAATTTTATTTTTAAATTATTTTTTTAATTTTTTATTATTTTTATAAGCAATTTAATTATTTTTTATTTTTAAATAATTTTTTTTCAGAAGGTTTTAAAATTTTTTTTTAAATTTTTTTTAATTTTTTAAAATTATTGTTTTTTTTTAGAAGAAGTTTTTAGAGAGAGAAACTTAGAGAGAGTAGATTAATGGTCCAATGGCAATCTTTAAACTTTTGAAATAGAGAATCATTTATGGATATATACGCGATAAATAATAATTTCTCTTAAATAAAAAAAATTAAACAGATACTACGAATAAATGTTTAGAGACGTTTAGTGGCTTCTTTAAAATAATTAAAATCTTTCTTGTGATAATTAAAACATCAACTTGTGACCGTTGTGATAAAATAAAAAATTAAAGTCTTCCACCAACTAAGTAATTTTATCATTTGTGTCATAAGATATAGAAAATTTATAAAATTTGAAAACTTTTTAAAGAAGATTTCATTATTTATATTTATTTCTTTCTTTCTTTTGAAACACCTTCCAACAAATCTGGGCCAAGATAAATAGTTTTCTTCCTAGCTATATGAATAAAAAAATTGGTTGATCGACAAAATGATGAGTTTTTACATTTATATGGAATACGATTCAAACCTGTACTTGAGTATTACATACTCCTTGATGGTACAAAATAGTTGTTTTTTTTTTTTTTTTCCCCCTAAATGTACAAAATACTTGTTACATATGTATATATACATATATATATATATATATATATATATATATACATGGTACAAAATAGTTGTTTTTTTTTTTTTTCCCCCTAAATGTACAAAATACTTGTTACATATGTATATACATATATATATATATATATATTTTTTCTTTTCGGAAGGTTTTGAAATTTTTTATTATTTTTTATTTTTTTAATTTTAAATTTTTTAAAATTATTTTTAATTTTAAAAATTTCTAGAGAGAGAAACTTAGAGAGGGGGAATTGATGAGACATAAATTTAGAGAGAGGATTGTGAGTGAGGATTTTAGAGAGAGAAATGAGTTGAGTGCAATAGAGAATAGATGTGTGTTTATTACCATATTCTGCCCATTTTGACCCTCAAATTAAGTGGTTAAAAATTACCCAACCCATCTTGACCCTCAATTAAATATGGTTGACCCATAACTATTAAAAAGTGGGTGGATATGGGAGGGTTGATGGTTCCTGACCCATTTTGTCACCCCTAAGTATACTTATACTTATAGTATTCATTTATTGATTTGTTCATTATTGTGATGGAGGCTCTGAGTAGATTGATGTGGAGGGTTGTGGAGGTTTTTGTCACAGGGTTCAAGGTGGGCAGGGATTCATCCAGTCTGTTGGAGGTCTCCCACTTGTATGCTGATGACACTATAGTTTTGTGCTATGAAGCACCGACATGCCCGGGAGGGCTGGCGAGATCCATTTCGGTAACCTGGGTACTAAAGCTTTGAGTGACACAAAGCTTTAAAGTCAAGCCCAACTGCTGCACCTTACATTCAAATAAGTTTAATAATAAAATGATATAATTTTGAGCAATTCTGAAACATTTGTCTTGGCATGAGAGCTTTAAAAGCAGCAACCGGGTCGAGCAAAATGTGCTCGACCCAGATCGAGCCAAACCAGGTCGAGCATGGGCTCGACCAGGTTTGAGCCTAGCGGGTTCGTCCGAGCTGCCAAGGGTCGAAAAAAAAAGGGTTCGAGCCCAGGCTCGAACAAAAAAAAAAGAAAATAATAATTTGCCGAGTGCTTGATCAAAAAATACCAACAGCATGTTTACAATATTGGTTTTGATTCATTGGAACTCAATTGTTTAGTTGTAGGCTTCGTGTTTGTTAAAATGTTTAGTTGGAAACTAGTATGGCTAAACATGTATGTTGGAGTATGTGTATAGCTGCTTTGATAAAATGATGATTATTAAAATAACTTGAATGAAATGAAGCATAACATTGTCATTTCCTTCTCACATTTTGTTGCATAGTGTGTGTGTGGTGTAGTACAAGTGTGAGTTGAATTTCACTAGTTTGGTGGATTGATTTTCCTAAGTTCGTGGAAAATGGTTTGAAAATGGGATTGGTTGTGGTAAAAATAGGAAGGGCGTGGCTCTAGGATTGAAAATCCCAAAACTTGGCCAGGCGGGTGTCGTACCGACGGGCTAGTAACCCGTGAAACGAGGGTAGGGATATGGGGAGGTACCCCATATTCGGTTGTGAACCAATCCATGTGTTGAGTTGATTTTTGGATAACAAGGTTGTGTTGTGTGTGTGAGTCCGTGTGGGACTTCATGATGCATAGATATGTATTAGTATGTGAACTGGATGTTGTTTCTAATGTAATGATGTTATCTTGCTTAAACTATGTT